TTTATTTATCAAAATATGTCAAAATGTTTAAACATAATGAACATTCAAATATTGATAGTGTAGTGTGTTTCACTCTGTCAGATAATTTGTCCTCATAGGCAGAGTAGGGTGATACTGCATTCTTCAATACGTTCCATTTGGCATCTGGGCAAGCAGATTCTCATATCTTACATTCCAGCTGTTGAAAACCATGCTGTTTTCATCTCGTTCACATCTGGGCTGTGGCTTTCTTGTAGCTTTTGTTTTCCATGTCTATTTGTAATTTATTTTCCTTTTATATTACTGACAGTGGAAATGGAAATAATTAAATTCTGTCTCTTGCATCTTGTTATATTAAAAGTAGTTGGACTCTTCAGGTTTTATGGAATCAAAAGAAAGAAGTTTTGTCCTTTCAAGTTGTTGTTCACCATTGATGTTGGCTCAGATTGCCACTTTTCCTCCAGGGTAAGCACTGCTTTGTCTCCGTTCCCTGAAGGGTGGGTACTTGGGCTTCTGCATCCTTTGCGGCATCCTTGCTGAAGTCTTCTATTATTATCTTTTGCTTGATTTAAATACATTTTGTGTATGTTAAATGCTTAAATAAAAATTAAAGTGGGGGTTTACATTCTTTTTTAAAACAAATTTTTATATTAAAATATAATGTTTTCCCCCATCAATCCACCCATGTCCCCAACGTTCTCTCAAATCCATGGCCCCTTTTTCTTTAAGTATTATTGATGTGTGTGTATATTTGTAAATGTATTAGTCACATCTGCTGTGTCTGTTTGGTATAGTTTGTATGTATGTCTTGCATCCAGATACCTGTAGCCCTCACTGTTCATCAAGGAAGCTTCTTTTTGCAGCAGATGGCGACCATTACAGAAAGACACAGCTGGTCAGAATGCAGAGGACATAGGGCTGATACATTTACAGCACAATACCTACACCTAAGACTCAGGGAGCATTGTAGAAGGTGTGAGAGAGAAGAGAACCCAGATATATGTTAGAGAATTTGTCTTTGGATATGACAAGGAAACCACACCCACAGAATCTCAACGGAATGGCTGCTTTAACAGAAGACTTGAACTGATGACACCACCAGTTGACAGTCCAGCACGGATAGGGTAGACCTCTGAGTTCTTTTGTGCTAGAGGCATGGAATTCATGGGTGGGGGCCTTGTGGTGACTTTCTCTGGAGACTAGGAACCAGTGACTGGAACACTCAAGGATGGAGGCCCAGTACTGAATCATCCTTAGAATCATTGTCTGTCTTAGGGGGAAAAATTGTACAGTTTGCTGTTTCAGAGCAAAACGTTCATTTTTGCAATCATCAGCGTCCCAGATAAGTCATGCATTAAAAAAAATAGGTATAGAATCTGAGCGTCGATAGGGTCCTTAGGCTAGTTCATTTAGTCTTTGATTTTTCAGATCTGCGCACTGGGTGATTAGACCTTGGCCCTGTGACCGGTCATCGCCAATACATACCTGGACATGGATTTGTCTTAAGCTATGGTTCAGTGGCTTTTCTTCTGCACCGCCACAAGCATAGGTTTGTGAGCTTAGCGGAATGATAGATATTACAGAGATTTTGATGGGCATACTAGATATGCTTCTCACCTGGAAAGTGCTTCTTAAGTTATTTTGGGAAATATAGTTATTGTGTGGGAAGCAGATAGCTAAGCGCCGTTCACTTTTTCATTAGGCGATAGTGTGATTAGGATGATATTGGGCAGATGTCATATATCTAAAACACGCTAAACTTCGCCAGTGTGTGGAAATACACTGTGCACAGGTCGTGGGCCGTATGCACCGTTGCACATTCTGGGGTCCAGGAGTGAAGACCAAAGCTGTGCTCTAGGGGTTTCGAGTCTTTCAACATCGTGACATGACGAAGACGTGAACGTAGACGTCTACAAGTGTTGGTGTGCTTCACTTATCGTCTAGCTGTCCTGGGATCGGGGAAAGGTTGTTGGTAGTAGATTGGGCATGCCTGCCGTTGCCCATGTCTTATCTCTCAAGGCGTAGACTTCAAAGGGAACTTGGAGACACAACTATGTTTGGATGATGGCCTAGTTTGCTGGACTCAAGAAGAGGAAGAAGTTGAGCATTCGCAATTGGACTTGGCAGGCAGTAGGGTCCTTGCTGGTGTGAAATGCAACTCTTTGCTAGCCCCATAGTCCTGAACTTGGGCATTTGAGAAGAACTGAGGAGAGTGCCTTGTCTAGATACGTCCTTAGTGCTCTAAAAGGTAGTTTGGAGCCAGGCGTCAGGGTGCACACCTTTGATTCCAGAGTCAAAGCAGGCAGATTCTCTGAGGTCAAGGTCAGCCTGGCCTACACTGTGAGTTCCTGGACATCAGGGCTGCATAGAGAGACCCTGTCTCAAAAACAAAAACATGGAACAAAACAAAACAACAACAACAAAAAAGGAGTAGTTTGCAATGCAATAGTGAGTTGCCTGGAGTCAGGCTAGCGTTGGGAGTCAGGCGGTGGCAATCTTCTCAGAGTTACTGTGTGTGCCAGGCAGCTGCTTGAGAGAAGCAGTATTAGAGAATTCATTTTGTAGAAAATTTTAGACCTGGAAGGGAGTGAAAAGAATATTCAATCTAGATTATTCTGGTAGCAGTGTGTAGGAAGACTCAGAAACAGGAAGGCAGCTGAGAATCTGCGTGAGGTAATGTAGCAGACATAAGGGTATAAATCTTTGTTCCAGTATCGAATCGGCTACAGTCAAAAAGGAGAAAAAATGTGCAGACATTTTGTGAGGGGGACACCAAGAGTTTGTAACGGATGGCTGAAGGGCAGTGGTGGGTGGTTCGAATCACGTGCTCTTCCTTGACTTTTCCCTTTTGGGGTATTGGAGACAAGTTATACTGTTTGCAAAGACTAGCTAGTTTGGGAAGCCAAGTTCAGTTTTGTTTATGATGGAGTGGACATTAATGGAAATAGCCAAGTGGGCTGAGAGATCAAGGAGGGAGATGCTGACTGGGGAGTCATTAGAGTTGAGGAAGAATGACCTCACTCTGGGCCTGTGCCTGGTTAAGAGAGCCCCGAGCCAAGCACATTGCTTATAGTCAAGATCTGAACTTCTCACATGAAGATTATCCTGCAGCAGATGTGCAGATGTTAATAAAATAAAACAACTTGTGTTCAGTTTGTCAGAAACCAGCACATGAATGAACATACCTACGGAAAGATGACCCAGGAAGAAGCGTTTCAGAGATGCTTCTCAACAGGAGACCCACAAAGACCTGTCTCATCTTTATCACCCTTGATGGGACCAAGTTATTATTTCCCCTAGGTCGTAAGGCAGAACATGGACTGTTTTGTGTGTATGGTTGGGAGAGATGAAGATGAAGAGAGAGATTCATAAGGAGTCAAAAGGCAGTGACTCCAGCTAGATAGCTCAAGGTTGGTCTGGAGGCCAGTCATCTTGCTAAAAACACCCTCCAAACGGACTTGCCTAACAGAGCTGCTCTGGTTTGGCTGAACCACACATGTGGAAGAACTAAGAATTGCTTTTGGCCCAGGACCATCTCTTGAAAACTTGCAGGGCCAAAGAGTTACAAGACTTGAAATGCAAAAATATTTCTGGGAACTTTTAGGGTAAGAAAATCTAACTAGTAACTATTGAAAATAAAAATAAAATGTAAGACTCAAGAAGTTCATATCCTTAACGTGTCTTTTACAGCTCATGGCATTCTTAGAAATTTGTTACTATTGTATTTTTTTCTAAAAAAGATTTATCTTATTTTTAATTAAATAAATGTTTGTGCCCCCATGTGCATGCGTGTGTGTGTGTGTGTGTGTGTGTGTGTGTGTGTGTGTGTGTATGCGTGCATGTTTGAGTTCAGGTGCTTGCAGAATGGGGAAGAGAGCATCAGATGCCCTGGAGCTGGAGTTATATGGTTGAGAGTTGTTAGTCATGGCGCTGGGAACCGAACTTGGGCCCTCTGTGTGAGCAGTACATGGTCTTGGCCATAGAGCTACTGTCCTCCGTGGTATTTGTGACTGTGTTCTGCCTGCTGTAGCTTGCTGCCTCACTTTGCATGTGGCCAGCTGGTTCAGCTTGTTGTTTATACAATAGGAGGAATGCTGTGACACTTAGGAGTCTTTGAAGCTCAGGAAGTTCAGAGTTTCCATGACTGGAGATGGAGCTTACCTATATGCCTGTTCTCTGTTAGACTAGAAGGGACCTATTGGGGAATGACTCCTATAACTAAGATTGTGGGGGAGACTGATAAACCACTTAATAACAGCCCCATTTTCTTTTTTTATTGATTTTTACTGAGCTCTACATTTTTCTCTGCTCCTCTCCCTACCTCTCCCCTCCCCACTTCAACCCTCCCACAAGGTTCCCATGCTCCCATTTACTCAGGAAATCTTGTCTTTTTCTACTACCCATGTAGATTAGATCTATGTAAGTCTCTCTTAGTGTCCTCATTGTTGGCTGAGTTCTCTGGGATTGTGGTTTGTAGGCTGATTTTCTTTGCTTTATGTTTTAAAACCACCTATGAGTGAGTACATGTGATAATTGTCTTTCTGTGTCTGGGTTACCTCACTCAAAATAATGTTTTCAAGCTCCATCCATTTTTCTGCAAAATTCAAGATGTCATTATTTTTTTCTGCTGTGTTGTATTCCATTGTGTAAACATACCACATTTTCCTTATCTATTCTTCGGTTGAGGGGCATTTAGGTTGTTTCCAGGTTCTGGCTATGACAAACAAAGCTGCTATGAACATAGTCGAGCACATGTCCTTGTGGCGCGATTGAGCATCCTTTGGATATAGACCCAAAAGTGGTATTACTGGAACAACCCCATTTTCAAAGGCTTTCCCAAGCCATTTCTGAATGAGAAGTGATCTCACGCATGTCAATTGCATTTATTTTTAATAGAATAACACTGTTTGGGTTGATTGACTTTTTCCATTACAGACATTTATTCTCTTTTTACATTGAAATTGCACTTTCTCAAAATTGCTATGTTGACAGAACTTTTGCCAGCAAATTCTAAGATTCAGTATAGACCCTTCATCTTTGGAGAGTGAGTTGAGTATAAATATACAACATAATTACCTTGTGGATAAAGAGATAGGCAGATGGCATAGATAGAAGTCAGAGACCAGAAAAGACCAGAATCCTTAATGGGGTGGTATCCACCAACAGAACTGTGCTATTTGGGCACTGTTGCCGCCTAAAGTGTACCATGTGACCATGTGAGAGTGCATGCAACTGCTTGGGTGAGGAGTATATCCACTCTTCAAAGATTATCTCAGAATGCTAAGTGTAAGACTAAAAATGTATCAGGGCTGTCTCAGTGGGTAAAGATGCTTGCTCCCAAGCCCGAAAAACTGTGTTTGATTGCTGAGTCCTCCATGATGGGAGCAGAGAGCCAACTCCTGCAGGCTGTCCCGTGACGTTCACACTGGTGCTGTGACACGTGGCTGTCCTCCCAATAAATAACTACAATAAAAAAATTTTGAAAAAGCTTTAACACAGAATGTAAGCATATTAAAAGGAAGTTGAAGCACGCTTAATAAAAGCTCAGGGTCAGGAATTGGGTTTCAGCCTTAAGATCCGAAAAGCAAAACGGCCAGCCGCTGTTTTGACCTCAGTCTGAAATGTCAGTTCTGCCTTTTGGAATCTCAGAAGGAGACCGTGCCTGAGAGCTGTCTTCCCCCATCTTATATTCCTCTCTAGGGCTGGGATTAAAGGCATGCACCACTGTCATTAAGTGCATGCACCACCCAGTTTCTATGGCAACTAGTGTGGCTACTGGGATTAAAGGTGCGTGTTACCATAACCTGGCCTGTAAGGCTGACCAGTGGGACTGTTTTACTCTTCAGACCTTCAGGCAGCCTTTATTTATTAAAATACGGTTGAAATGCTACTATAGTAAATCATGAGGGAAATGTCAGTAATTTCATTTGTAAACATTTTGGGGAGCAGAGAGGGGAGAGAGAGGGTGGGGAACAGATTTGGAAGTGGTGAATTAAAGAAAGGACTCCATTAGACAATAGTCAATTTGCACAGTGCCACTTAATTGTAGTTATTTAGTGGATTTCTAAGTGGTAAAGTTGCATTTTATTAAAATATTTTATAGTCCAGATATTCATTCTATTTCCTTCAGTAATTGTTTGAAAAAGACGATCTGTCTTGCAAAACTGTTATTTTATATGATAACTTGGTGCCTAAAATGTTGCCTCAGTGCAGAGTAGGTGGTTCCATGCAGCGTTCCTGGGCGTGTGCAGGTGAAGCCACTTGGTTTTCATCTGAACATCCCTCTGGTGCCTGGCAGGGTGGAGGTGGGGTGGAGATGAGGAACAGCGCTCTGGACTGTGCCTGCAGGAAGTGCCAGCACCAGGAGGCCCAGCCTCTGTTTTGGAGCAGAGTGGTCATAAGGTACTGTCATTCCTGGTCAGAGTTCGGATCCTGCCTGGGGACTAGCAGCTGCTAGGTGTAGTCACAAGGCCCCTGAGAACCCAGCCAGGACACGCCAGGAACCTCCCCTCCTCTGGAGTCACATGGCACTCTTGTCGTCTACCTATATCTGAGTGGCTTCTGTCAGTCTTACCTAAGCAAGTGGGAGATTTATGAGTCATGACAGAGTTTTGGGAGGACACTCTATAATCGAATATTCTTTATGGTCACATGGTGATGTCACTTCTCCGCACAAACTAATGACTGCACCAACTCTCCTGGAAGAAATCCAGGTGTATTAAGCTCCAGATCTGATCTGGAATGAAACCCATTCCATTAGGAAACCCATGTCGCAGTGGTCTGCGACTTGTTGACTGTGACCAGACAGGCCAGGTCTCCCTTTCTCTCTTTGGCCTCAGCAGTCCATGTCAACAGAGGTCAAGTGGGGATTTGAAGGGCTCCTTGTCCTGTTAGGAAACCCTGTGAAGTGCCTGGGATTGACTGACTTGCAGTGTTTTTTCGGGATAGGTGGGATAGGGCTGAGTACTGACTGGATAGTGCTCAGTAGCCATGACACTGGTGGAGTTGGGAAGACAGACCCTCCTTAACCAAGTTGCAGTGCCTATATTTAGCTTGAATGCAGGGGTTCTTAATTGAGGGTGTGTGAGAACTTCCCCGTTTCCCATTATAAAAAGCGGACATGTGCGTGCTCTCTGGGCGATCTCTCTTGTTCCCAGTGCTTGAAATCCTTGATTATATTGACTGCTTAGGTATCCATCCTTGACTTCTCTTTTCAGCTCCAGACTTGCATACACGCTGATACTACCATCCACCTGGTAGCTGCAGGACTACCCCTCTGTTTTCTCCTCCTTCAGCACCCCGCTTTTCTTCAGTGACACTGTCATGGACCCAGTTGCCCCAGTCAAACACCAGGAGACCAATCTTTTATTGTTCTCAGTATTTGATTTCCTTCCTGCCACATTTGCTGTTCTGTTTGTACTGGCCTAAGCCATGTGGCTTTTCTTGGGCAAACTGAGATCCCTTCTGAAATGTACTTGTCCCTTCAGAGGTTCAGAGTAGCTTGAATATATTTCAAATTCCTCAACTTTAACACAGTGTTTAAGATGACTACATTGATGTTTCTTTTCTTGGAAATTAGTTAAAATATTTATTTATTGATTGATTGATTTTTGAGACAGGGTTTCTCTAATTTTGGAGCCTGTTCTGGAGCTAGCTGTTGTAGAGCAGGCTGGCCTTGAACTCAGAGATCCGTCTGCCTCTTGTTTCCTGAGTGTGAGGATTAAAGACATGTGCCATCACCACCTGTCATAAATATTTATTATTTTTATGTATATGTGTATGTGCCTGTGTAAGTTTATATGTACCATGTGTGTGCAGGAACCTGCAGAGGCCAGAAGAGGGCGATGAATTCCTGTAACAGGAGTTATAGGCAGTTCTGAGGCAGCTTGTGGGAACTGGGAACTGGATCCAGGTCCTCTGTATGAATAGTAAGCCCTCTTTTTTAACTGCTGAGCTATCTCTCCAGTCCCCCTGGAAATTAGTTTTACTAATAAAGGCTGACTCCGTATTTCCTTATCTCCCGGAGCAGAGGCAAATGTGGGCTGCCTGACCAAGCTGCGCTCTGGGGATGGACTGTGGCAGTTCCCTCTTTCCCTCCTTTCCTACAAGGAGTCTGAGTCTCTCCAGTCCTGCTGGAACCGTGAGCGCAGAGCGGCTCACACCACCACCAGTGTAGAACGCTTTCTCAGTGTTACTCATGTAGTGCTGTCTCTTTACCTGGTGTAGTCGTGTGCTGCTCTGACTGCAACCAAATAAACAAGGAAAATGTATTAGATTGTTCCGGAGGTTAGAGTGTGAGACAGGCGGGGCTGGGCAGAAGCTCAGATGGTGCAGAACGGCATTGTATTCTCGGTCTCTGGGGAAGACTGTTTCTTGTCTTCTCCAGCTTCTAGAAGTTGAACAATCTGTTCCCAGACTGGGATCTTGCGGGAGCGTCATTCTACACTCTTCTGTTCTCTGTTTCTTTTTTGGGCCTTGTTCTTTTTCTTTCGAGGATCCTGTGCTCTTAGGAGCCTTCTCTGGATATTCTAGGATAATCTCGCCATCTTAAATTTTATCACTGAAGCTCATTTTGCCACATACCTACCATATTCTAGCATCTGGAATCGGGGCATGGGCATCTTCGAGTAAGCACTTTTCTTATCTACCTCAGCAAACACTATTTAAACTTATTTGCCCGTGTCAACTAATCTTCAACAACTCTCTCGGTTTAGGTGTTATTCACTGCCTCTACTTTATAGCTGTGGAAAGTGAGGCCCAGGGAGGTTCTGTAACTTGTTCCGGGTTTTATGCCACTAGGTAGTAATGCTGGAGTTCACACGTCACCTTAGCGCTCTGTAATCGGGATGCATACTGTTTTTGCAGGTGTCTAATGTGTCCTTCAGTGTGATGTTTGAAAACCATACAGTGGTGATAATCATGCCTTCCGGAGTGCTTGGTGGCTCCTCCTGTTTGAAGTCTTGACAGAATCATTTCAAGCAATGGGAATTAGCATCTGTGTGTTCCTGCCTCAAGGTCACACAGATAGCAAATGCTAAAACTGGAACACGTGATCTGAACTGTGACCAGCCTGCTTTACCTGATGAGGATGTGTTTAGAAAAAGATTAACCATGATTTGGCGTTGCGTAATGGTCACCTTCAGTGGCAGACTTGTGGAGACTGCAACACATCTCCTGGAGTTTCAGGATGTGGGTGTTGGGAGCTGAACTCTGGTCTCCTGGCACAGTTGTAGGTGCTCTTTAGTGCTGAGCTATCTCTTCAACCCCTGTCAGAAGGTCTTGCTGTAGTGAAGTGATATGCGGATTTCAACATCATTAGAAAAGGGTAGAGTTGATCAGGAGGTTGAGATCATTGTTTGGTGGCTATATATGACATGCGTAACATGCAGCCATCCCTTCTGAAATTAGCCTAGTTAGAAACTTAAGTGCAAAATCTTATCACCAAGATGGAACAAAGCATTGTTTTGAATTTCCCCTTAACCTTTTGCGTTCTCCACAAAAACCAGCTGCTAGAGTTGTAGTAAATGCTGCAACTTGTAGTTGAACTGTGGAGACATGGAATCTTTGCCCTTAGAAGGGTGTAACATATACTGCCCTGCTCATGAGGCCATGACTGTCAACCCGGGGCCAAGCCAAGGCAGGCTCACACTTCCGACTGGACCTTAAAGAGCACTCCATTAATGTAGACCTGTCCATTCCTTTAAAAAATGTTTTATTATTTTCTAGTGTGTGTATGTATGTCTGTAGATGTGTGGGTCTGCATATACCTACAGAGGCCAGAGATGCTGGGTCCCCCTTTGAGCTGGGATTGCAGACAGTTGTAAACTACTTGGCATGGGTGTTGGGAATTGAACCCCAGGTCCTCTGGAAGAGCAGCGTGTATTCTTAATTGTTGAGCCATCTCTCCTACTAACATTTCTACTTTTTCTAATTTTTAATTTTTTTTGATACAATGGAAATTAAATTTTCTTTCATAAAAGATCATAAATGTTTTGTATTTTTTTTGGGGGGGGAGATTGATGGATTATGTCAAGTACTTTCTTGTCCTAGACCATGATGGGCCTTTGGTACTTTCCTTGGTTTTCTCTTGTAATGCATAATTGAGATGGTTCTGTGAGTTAGGTGTTGTGCCAGGCATCAAGCATGGGGAGCAAAACAGCTGCCCACATAGAGGGGAAAAATGGGTGCCATGCATGAGTACATTATAATGCTGTAGAGAAAATAAAAGCGAAGTTGAGGAAGAATAATGTACAGACAGCTATTTCAGATAGAACAGCCTAGAAGGCTGTATATTGGTGTATTTTAGGGAGAGTTGAAGCATTGTACAGAGAAAAAGTATGCCTGAAGGTACTGAAAATTGGTGAGAAGGAACTGGCTTGGAGCTTAGTTACAATTAGGGAAAAGCTTGGTTGGGAAAAAACACTGCATCCCTGTGTGTTTTGACCGTGATAAAGAATACAGGTATCTTAGTTTTGTTCCCAAGCAACAAGGAAGTAGCAATGGATATTCCAAGGGGCGCACTATTTGAGCAAGGCGCGGAAGAGTAAACACGCACACAGGGAGATGGAAGTGAGGCGGAAAATAGTTGGTGCCCGTGGGCAGAGTGTTAGGAGGAGGCTAAAGCGGAAGGGGCTTAATGTTTCAACAAGTGTTTGGAGATAGGAAGGAAAAGCTTTTAAAGATAAGTTGGGCGTGGCAGCATTGTGGGGACAGAGGGAGAATCGGGACACCAGCATTTTGAAGGAACTTACTGAGGAGACCAGAGCTGCTTTCTCGAGATCTGAGAGTGGCGGTGGCTTTGGGAGAAGGGTGTGTTCAGCGTGTAGGGTTGACGTTAAATAGAGCAGTCAGTAGGACGTGAATTTCAGAGTTATCGGCAGAACACATAAATTCTGGAGGCAGGAGTACAACGTGGCATTTAAGTCACGGAGTGGATGAGGTCATAAGTGTAGAGAGGTCACAGGCTCAGGAGCTAACCTGGAGGCCGACATTTGGAGGTCAGAGAGAGGAGCCAGCAAAGGACACCGATTAGTAAGCCTCAGGAAAAAAAGCCAAGGGCACACTGTACCGCAAATCGAATTAGTGATGGCTGTTTCCAGGATGAAGGGTGCTTGGCTGTGTGTGTGTGTGTGTGTGTGTGTGTGTGTGTGCGCTTCTGGAGATGATGAGGTCCCAGCATGCTTTGCATCAGGCGAGAAGTATGTGTATCTGGGGAATTTATGTGGGCAATTTAGTGAGGCGGACAGGAACTGAATGCAACGGGCCTGTAAGTGAGTGAGCTGAGGATCGGAAGGCAAAAGGAGTGTTGAGTACAGGCCTTGGTAATCCCCTGGTGTCCATGAAACATGGACGGTCTGCAGGTGACAGAGCCACAGAAACTTGCTTTCTGCCTCCCTCCAAGTTCACAGTCCCTGACCCTGGCTCCAGGAAGCCCTTGGCGTCACACTCAGGCTTGGATCGAGATCCTGAATTCTGTGGAAGTCTGGAGATAAAAAGGCTGGAAGAACCTGGAGCTGTCTAGAAGGCAAAGCAAGAATTTGCTCCTCCTGCATTTTTGCCCCAAACAAGTCCTTAGTGACAGGTGTTGCTGGTCCACTTAGAGCAGATGTTTCTCCTGCAGTCCACTGGCCCAGGTTTCTCTAGACATGCCTTCTAGGCACACTGGGCCAGCCCTGTGATGCTGTTCAGGGCTGCATTGCCTGGATTTCCCCCGTTAACAGAAGAAGCAAGGGGCCCAGTACTAATGGTGATTATGTTTTACCCCTTTTCAAGATCCTGTAGTCTAGTTAGGTAGCATCCTACTCAGCCATCTCATGTAGTTAAGAGGCACGTAGGGGTGTGGCTGACTTTTAAAAATGGACATCGTGGGACTGGGCGGATGGCTCATCAGTAAGAGCACTGGCTGCTCTTCCAGAAAACCCAGGTTCTCATCCCAGCCCTACATGCTGACTCGTGTCTGCACCTCCGATCCCTGGGAATCTGATACCCTCTTTTACCCTCCCTGGGCATTACACGCATGTGGTGCAGAGACATACACTCAGTCAAAAGACCCATACACCTTAAAATAAATTAATTTAACATTCAGAAATTCAACCATATTATACCGTAGTCATATGGGACTGGCTGCCTCTTGTGGTTGGGTGTCGGAGGACAGCTGCATCCCAGGGAATGGATTGCTCTGGAAGGGGAGTCTCATGCGGCAGCACCAGGAGGAGGCCTCTGAGCAGCTGCCGAAGATGGACTTGGAAGTTAGAAGAGCCATGGCCTCTGAATGTGAGGCCTTTGGGGTGGGAGAGGGAAAGACAGCCATCTTTCCAGGTGTGGCTTAAGGAAGAAGGTGTCTCATCAGCTGTGCTTGAGTGCCCACAGTAACTCGTCCCCAGCAGCTAGTGCCCTCCCGGGGGCAGATCGTTATGCAACTTGTTCAGATTCAGCTGCGGATGCAGTCATTGATTTTGTTCATAGGATCGAGTGGGCACTGATTCTGGTTTACTGGTCTACCTTGTTGTAGGCTCTAAATTAGCTCTGCCCTACGTCTTTGGTATGTGTGATTTTGTTCCCCTCAGTCTCTCACCACTAGCAGAGAGAATCAAATACAACCTTCTTCCCTTCCTGTGTCTTCAGTACAACACCCAGGATGCCTTTCTATAGAACTGATTAGCAAATCAAAGGCTAACGTGCCTTTCTCACAAGTGATTTTCTTGCCCTACGGAAAACTGTCATTTTCAATATTCCTGTCAGTATTCCTTGACCTGTCAGTATAATTGAAACGTTATCTATCATTTGTTTCTTTAATGCACACTTTGAGTATATCCTTTTTATGTCCCCCTCTCCCTTAGCCATGTGTATGGAATTTGCTCATGAGGTATATATTAAGGACTTTGGCTGTTTGGAGGGAGGCTTTATTCTAGTGCATAATATACTTTAAAAATGGTTCTCATTAGACCATTAACACTGCTATAGCCCCAGGCCATACTTTTCTATGTGTACTTAACTCAATATCAAATCCCGGGCACTGGTCATTAATTGTATCTTTAGAGTTACAGTGAAAGTGAAAGTCCTCTTTAATGCCTGTCGGCTCCCTCTTCCTGAAATGTCTCCCGTCGTATTTGTATTGGGTAATATGCAGGTTTGGGAGCAAGGCCTCATAGCAAAAGCTTTCCCTAGACTGCTTTTTGTCCCCCTATGTTGAACTACAGGCGGCTTGGCTGTGTACGTGGGTCCAAAGCAACCCTCCCTCCCCACCAGATCGCTCTAGAAGGATGCCTTCAAATCTGGCACCCACACACAGTACCTTTAAAAGCGTTGAGAGTCCACTAAAGCCTCATTGTACGGAGATGTGTGAGGCAAAGCTGAAGTTCTGAGTCTTGTCGGATTGGGAACTTGCTTGACTGTGGTCTCTGTGGCGAGCAGGCCCCATTGGAGGGGTGTTTGTTTCCAGTACTGGAACTCAGCAGGGTGAGTCATAGCGATTTCAGGAAGCGGCTCCAGTCTGTTGTACTGTGATAATGCGTGAAGGAATGTCTCCATTTGCTCCAGACAATGTTTAGGAAGGTATGGACAGAGATGCCGCGGGTTTGACTCTTAAACATTTTTATTTTGGGGGTTTGGACTTGGGGCTACAGCTGGAGGTAGATTTTGGACGTTCATTTATTTGGAACGTCACGTAGCTTTCCCACTTGGAGAATGAAAATTTCAGTTGGTTGGATGTGGTTCTTTCATCTCCCAAGTTGTGTTCAAAGCCACAGTTTCGGATAACTGTGATTCTGCACCCTTCCTCCCCCACGTGCCCAGAGCAGGAGGGAGGGGCAGGCCACACCACACCCAGTGCGGCAGGTCTTCACCTCGCACCTGCTGCACCTTAGGACCAAATACCACGCCTTTGCAAGCCTCAGCTGCCAACAGGATCTCACTGCATAGCTCTTGCTGGCCTAGAATTTCCTTGGCCGACCAAACTGGCCTTGAAGTCACAGATATCCTCCTGCCTCCGCCTCCTCTCTCTACTCTTTTTTACTACTGTATTTATTTATGTGCTTGTGTAAGTCAGAGAACAAGTTCCAGGAGTTGAGTTTTCTCCTCCTGTCATTTGGGTCCTGGGGATCAAGGCACACCCGGGATACTCCTGCCTTTTTGTAACACTATTTTCACTGTTTAACACTATTTTCACTGATACTTTCCTGGAAATAATCATCCTTATATTTTTATTTTATTTTTTTGTTGTTAGGGTAAAGAGATGGCCCAGTGTTTGAGAACACTGGCTGCTCTTTCAGATGGCCTGTGTTTAATTCCTAGCACCCACAGGACAGGTCCCAAGTGTCTGTAACTTGAATTCTAGGAGATCTGCTGCTGTCTTCTGGCCTTCAAGGGCATGTGGCACACACAGGCAAAACACTCAGGCACATAATAAAAATGAAAATTAAGAAGATTTTTCTTTTTCAATGTTTAGTGGCAAAAGTCTATTTCATGATTGTTTCTACCCTGTGATGATCGACTTTAGAACATTTCGGTGTTTTTTTCTCTTCCCGTCTTTCCTTTTTGCCTTTCTGATAATGGAAGTTAATTGTTCACCATGGAGATAAATATTATTTTCAACCCTAAGGTGAGCTTTTTGGGACCTGGTGCACAGGCTTTTGTATATGTGTGCTGGTGTGTGTGTGTGTGAGTGTTTATGTATGTGAATGTGTGAGTGGATGTGTTCTTACAATGTCATCTTATATATTCAAAGACATCAGTATATTCCTTAGGTGTTTTTGTCTTCCCATTGTGTGGCATTATGCCCAACCCTGGTCTTTCAGTTCGAACTGTTGTGCAAAAACATGACAAATGTGTGTGTATTGTTCCTATACTTGGAACTGAGTACACGGGGTGGAAACAAAGTCACAGATGGTTTCTCCTGCCATTAGCTGCTCTGTTCTGTAAAACAAGGTTGTTGGGATGGCAAACCTCTGAATGTGGGGATTAGTTAACAACACTGCCACGCCCTGAATGTCACACAAGCGAAATAAAAGCATCCCCAATGACGTGTTAGGGCACACTTGTGTCTATGGCAATTAAAAGTTGATGAACTGATTTTTCTTTGGATTGGCCAATATTTGCTAAGGGCTAAAGTGGAATATTCTTGTTTAGTTTCTTTTTTTTTTTTGACCCAGCAAATTAACTCCTATCTATTTTGCTTAAATTTAAAATCTCACTCATGAATATAGCATATGTCAGTGTTTGTGGAGATTCTGGAGATCTGAACAGGAAACAGTTCCCAAATAGCTTGGTCATTCTCTTGTACTTTAAAACTATGATTGGATAAAGATGGCTGCTACAGAGTGGCGGTTCAGTCCCAGCTGCCCTTCTACTGCGTCTGTGCACAAAAGTGACTGCGTAGTTGGGTAGAACCACGATCATGGTTCATATAGCTACCTCTTTCTTTTCTTTCAGGGCCAGCTTTCAATATTGCAAGAAAAGATAGACCATTTGGAACGCTTGCTAGCTGAAAATAATGAGATCATCTCAAATATCAGAGACTCAGTCATCAACCTGAGCGAGTCTGTGGAGGACGGTCCGAAAGGTTCACCGGGCAACGGCAGCCAGGGCTTGGCACGCCTGCTTTCCTCACAGTCAGCCCTCCAGACTGACCCCAAGGACTGTTTGTTTGCCTCACAGAGTGGAAGCCAGCATCCCGATGTGCAGGTAACCAAGAGTCGCTGGTAGCCAGTGGCCCTTTTGCTTGTTTTCAGAGTTATTCCTGTGTCTGTTCTTATTCGGCAACTTTTTAAGCTCTGGGCTCCAGTTTCTCCGTTTGCCACGATCTGTTTGTTCTCACCATCGTTTCTCTCTGTTAGTGGTATCATCCACTCCTGTGCTTCTGTCTATTTTCTTGTGAACCCCACCATTTCGCTTGCTTTACCGTCTTTTTATCTTCTGTAGTGGTTGAAAAATCCTTAAAGATTTAATTTGCCCACGTGATAATTTTACCTGCTTTTGGAGGAAACAGTCACATTCCAATGTCACTCTGCACCTTCCCTATACAGCATCAGAGCAGATATTTGGAGAAAGATCCTTTGGTAGGGCAGGGAGTAATCTAGAGCTGTATTTTCCACTATGGAGAGTGCCCTCCACACATGGCTGCAAGCACTCACAATGTTGCCCTTTGATTTGAGATGCACTCTGAAAGTCTGTAATGGAAACACAGAGTGTTTTGGCCTTCGCGTATAATGTATCTTTATTTTTGTATTAATTATAGGTTGGTTTGATAATACCATGGGTAACTTAGATAAAATCTATTATTAAAATTTTATTGTTTTCATTTTATTAGACTATTTAAGATTGCCATGTTGGACTTGAACTCTTTCACTTGGACAACTAGGGGGTAATGGAACTGAAAATCCAGAGATGGGGTAGAACCTGATATAATCTTAAGGCCATGACTCACAGGCTGCCAGCGGGAAGCAGTGCAGCTGGCTAGGCCCTGTACCTGTACCCTCATGGTTAGCTAGTGCATGGGCAGATCCTGGTGGGGCCAGAGTCCTGGGCTTTCTAGGTTACCTGTCTCCTTGGGGCTTGGTTTCATTTTGCTTCTTACTGAGTTTTTCTTCGTACCACCTTCGTCCACTGTGGTAGGGGATGGCAATATGGCAGGCTCTTTTGTTGTTGTTTGTTTAGTCTAAACGTGGGTTGTTTTTACTGGGGTTGCAGAGCCGCTGCGCCTGTGTCAGAGGGAGGAGGGAGGACGTTTGCTATAGGGCTGAAGAAGGGATTGACAGTTCCTCCTGATGCCTCCCTCTGCCCAGCTGTGCGCCACAGATTTTCTGCCTTATCCTTGGAGTCTTACTTTTATTCATTCAAGGCATGTGATAGTTATTGTCTTAAACTACTTCATGATCATGTTACTTAATTTCCTGATTTTCTTATTTTTTGTGATATTTTATATTAATATATAGTTTTTGTAGCCTGTTCAGTTTTAACAATTTAAATGTTCTCGGTTGAGTTGTCACATTTAGTATCACAGAGACTATGAGGGTTAAAAGTCAAGTTTTATGTTTTGGGTGGGACACTGTCTTTTTTTCCTTTATGTCCAAAATGAATTATTTTCTACAAGGAATTATGCATTCAGAAGCTAGATGACGTTTACTTGGTTTTTGAGATGAGGTCTCACTTTGTGGTGACCCTCCTGCCTCAGCGTTGTGATGGGATTGTAGGTATACACCACTACACCTGGCTGTAGAAACACATTGGACTACTTAAAAGTTAAATCTCAGTTTAAAAAATTTCATTCCGTGTGTACTTTAGAATAAAAAAGTAAATACAGCATTTGACAAATAGAAAAATACAGAAGAGTTCAGATACAGACTTAGAAGGTAGCTGAGGCTGATTATGAAGCCGACATCCCAAGTGAGGTAAGCAGTTGTGTTGAGTATGTATTTGCAATTGTTGAAATATTTGGTCATAACTAAACTTCACGAGAAATCTTTTGTTGCATTTCTGTTTTCCTGTTAAATCACACTGGCACTAAAAGCAAAAGGAGGAATTCTAATAAATGAATGAAATCGTATTTATCGAAAGCAGATGGGGCGGGCTTTCTTATCAGGGTAGTTATGTAGCACAGTAGCCTTTCAAGCCTTTGAATGATTTTGGCCTTAAAAATTTCAATTGATTTTTATATAGTTTTATTTGATTATATATTGATAAAAGAAGCAGCAAAAAAAAAAAATCCTTGAGCAAATATTGAGCAGCCTTAAGTACTGCTTAACAATGGTTGAAGTTTAACTATTTTTCTTTCATATTTTTAGATGTTGGATGTTTATGATCTGATTCCTTTTGATAACCCAGATGGTGGCGTTTGGAAGCAAGGATTTGACATTAAGTATGAAGCTGATGAGTGGGACAGTGAGCCCCTTCAAGTTTTTGTGGTGCCTCATTCCCATAATGACCCAGGTAAAGGCCGCACTCCCTAGTAGCTCTGACAAGCTTGCCCAGCACCTGTGTCCCGTAACGAGGGTCCGGTCAAGCTCCTGTCTTTCTGACATCACAGTGGTCTTCTTATCGACCGTCTCCATTGTACTAATTTATGTGCCGTTACCAGGTAGGACTTGTCGAGCAGGAAGCAATGATAAACACAAGAAGGATTTTGGGGACATACATTTCAGGGTACTGTGGTTTATTTTATTTGCTTCTGGTGAAATACTGCATGGGAGGGCTGGAGGCCTAGTGATAAGTTAAGAGCACTTAGCATTCTTGTACAGGACCCAGATTCAATTCCAGACCCCACATGGTGCTTCACAACCATCCTAATTCCAGTTCCTGGAGATGCCTCACCCTCTTCTGATGTCAGCTGGTCTGGGGTATGCACGTGGACGTGCAGGCAAAGTGTTCCTACATATAAAGTAAAATACATCTAACACATTAAAAGATACTTCATGAGAGAATCACTTTCTCCTGTAAATTCCACTTCCATAAGGCAGAGTGC